GTTGGGGCGGGGCGGGGGGCGGGGCCGAGGCCCCGTGGAGGGAACTCATTTTGGAGGCTCAAAATATGGTAACCCTATTGGAGCAGGAAGGCCCGGAGCACCAGCTGGAAAGGGGCGAGCTGGAGCAGGGACAGGACTGGGTAGGAAGTGGCTGATGTGATGTCTCTCGAGTACTTTGCTGGTGTGTGTGAGGAGCTGCTGGGGATGCCTCCCGGGGGTTGCGGGGCTGGGCTGGTGCAGGGATTTTGCTTCTGCTCTTGGTCATCTCAGTTTAGGTGGGGAGGGGGAAGTGGTGCCTCTCTGAGCGGTGGGAGTGACAGCATGGTGTTGCAGGGGGAAGGGAAGAGGGGCCAATTCATTGAGGGTGGAGGAGGGATAGGGAGGGGCCTGTCTGGTGGGATTCAGACGGAGGTACCGCAGGGAATGAGAAGTCAGGCACACTGACTTTTTCCAGGGGGATGAGAAGGATTTTTGTGGGGGTAGGGGCAGAACAGGGTGGGGAGCAGGGGAGAGGTGTGGAGTAGGGAGATTGGGGTCATGGCTTTGGTCAGAGGTAGTGTGGGTATAAGGCAGGGCACGCAGAAGGCTCGAGGGGTGCTTGAACAGGGAAGCTGGTGTGGGCCTCATACAGGGTTACTATTCTGGGGGGAGCCTAGATGTGGTGGTTGTGAGGGAGATAAGGCTGCTGAGGGGGTTTGGAAGTACTCCAAGTGTGGCTCAGGGGAACTGAGCATGGAGCAGGGGCCCCTTAAAGGAGGTTTTCAGGAGCTGTTGTGAGTGAGGAGCAGTGCCAGCTGAGGGGGAGTTTGTAGGGGACTGAATCAGGGGCACAGAATCAGGCTTTGCAAGTTGAATTTTGGAGGAAAGAATAGGGGGGATGTGGGGTTTTCTGAAGGCTTTATTTGGGGTATGGAGCAGGGAGGGCAGAGTGAGTTCCTCTGAGGGGTGGTATGGGGTATACAGGAAGGAGGAAGTAGTACAGCTTGTTGAAAGGGGAGGTTAGGGGGACTGCAGGGAGACATGGAGCAGGACCTGCCAATGAGGCTTTGAGAGGCACTGAGGAGTGTGGAGCAGATCCTGCTCACGGGGCCTAGGTGTACTAGCACAGGGGGAAGAGCAGTGGGGTGTGCCAAGATTAGAGGAGTTCATGGTTGGGGTCTGCATAGGGCAGGCAGGTGGAGTGAGATTCCCTGGGAGAGGCAAATTTTTGGAGCCATGGAGCAGGGCCTGCAGAGTAGGAAGAGGGGGTTGGAGAAAAGAGAAGAGAGACTTGATTAACTGGGGACAATAGATAATGTTTCTCATTAAGTATCACAGGGATAGCCGTGTTAGTCTGGATCTGTAAAAAGCTACAAAGAGTCCTGTAGCACCTTATAGACCAACAGAAGTATTGGAGCATAAGCTTTCGTGGGTGAATACCCACTTCGTCCTGAGGAATACCCACTTTCATATTCACCCACGAAAGTTTATGCTCCAATACTTCTGTTAGTCTATAAAGTGCCACAGGACTCTTTGTTGGTTCTCATTAAGGAGGGCTTTGATGTGGAGCAGGGACCTGGGCCTACTGATGAAAGCTTGGGTAGGTGGAGAAGGGAAGAGAGGAGTGCAGCCTGCTAAAGATGATGTGGGAGTGGCATAGTAGGAAGGGGGTTGTGACTGTGGAGTAGGGAGTGGCCCTAAAAGGGGTATTTATGTGGGATGGAACAGGGAGAAAAGGAAATGAGTCTTGCCCAGAGTTTTGAAGAGTGTGAGAAAAGAGAGGAAGACAGGTCTTGTTTATGGAGGTATAGTTGGGAGTGCAGAATATGAATAGGGGGAATATGGCTTGATAAGGGGGGATTTTGATGCTGAGTAAGGGGGGAAGACATTCTTCTGAGGAGAGGTTTGCAGTGGATGGAACAGGGAGTGAGGAGTGTGGCATACTGAGTGTGGTTTGCAATAGTAAGATGATGAAGTGGATTCCATTATGGTTGCAGGGGCAGAGTTGTTCCCATTGAGAGAAATGGTTGTGAGGTGCAAGGAGGACAGAGCAGGGGCAGTGAAAAGAAGTATTTGGAGAACGGGGCTCATTGAAGAGTACATTCAAGCAATGGGGGTATGGGCTTGCCATGGTTGAGGGTTGTGTGATGCAGAGGAGTGATAGAGGAGCAGGGCTTAATGTGGGGTGTATTAGAAGAATGAAGCTGGGTGTGATGGCGTAAGATGGACCAGGGAGGGTGTAGTCTGGTAGAAGGGGTAAGTGTTTGCTTGGAAGAGAGAACCTATTGATGGGGGAATACAGTGGGGTTGGTTGGAAAATCAGGAGGATGGAAGGGGTCTGATGGAGAAATTGGCTTGGGTTTGGGTTGGGAAAGAGAACCAAAGGAGTAGTAATGCTATTGTGTTCTCCCTGTGTCTAAGCTTATCAAATGATTTACAAATATTATTGAATTAAGATGCAGACTTCATCCTTGTCCCTGGAATTGTTCCTCCTTCGCACATTGTAGAGAGTGACTTCTGTATGAAATCATTTGTCATGTCAGAATCCAGAAGCACATATCCCAGTAATTGTAAACTTATATTCTGTTTAACTTATTTGAAACTATTTCTCTTTCTAGGCTTTTCTGATACGTTAAAATTCTCTTACTCTGAAGTAATAGTGCCAAGAAAGCTAGAACCAAGGGATGGCATAGACACCAAGGTAGCACTGCTTTCTAAGAATATTGGAATTGCTATGTTGATTCAGACTAATGATTCATGAATCCTGTCTTTGGTAACTCCCAGTACCAGATGCTTCAGTGGAAGTTGTCACCACCTCTATAATAAAGTATGTAGAGCAGAAAGTTTCTTTCTTATCCTGAGCAATTAGTGGTTTGGTTCTCTTTTTGAAGCACGAGGGTTAATAATCTTTAATGCAGTCTGTGCTTGCCTGTGTAACTGTGCTTGACATTTTTATGAGTGGAACTCAGTGTGCAGTAAGAACATTTATCATTTGACAATAGGTAAAACAAATTATATGTTGTTTATTGCAAGGAACCAAGGAATTCAGAAGGTACTTATATGGCTCCCATTAACAAGGGATATAAGCACTACACAATGTTTAAAATGTTTATCTTCACAACACTCCTGTAAAGTAGTACCCTCTGTGCTGGCAACCCCCAATTTTAAAGAATAATCATGCCATCATAAGACTATTCTTGTCTGTAACTTCTGGTAGGGGGAAAAAGCCCATTTGTCTGGGCTGGTTTTGAACCCCTGAGAAACTGTTCTGGCATTCAGACAGTATTGATAGTCTATCTTGAACTCTTCCTAGAGTACTAGGATTGGAAGTTTACGCTGTACATCCTTTGAAAGGTAATTTTGCTTGATATGTGAGGTATAGAATTTGACCTATGTTGTCATAGTTTAGGGATTCTTAATATATCTTTTCCTACTTGAAATATTCCACAAGACTTATGAGCACCAAGTAGTATAAGGGTCAAGAAGAATGCAAATTTATGACCCAAATGTTAACCAAGTGGGCAAGTACTGGGTGAAACATTCTCCCTGTAACCCTGTAAAGTAAAACAGACAAAAAGCCAAAAATGAACTGAGCACTTTAAAGTGAATTTCAACCTTCTATGTCCATGTTTGACTCTTGGGGAACAACTCCGTTCTAAGTTTCGACCTGGAATTGTAGCTCTGTGCTGTGGCTAAATGCCACAATATAGCCCTTATGATAAAACTGCAACCAGTAGTCTATGACTAAGATTGTGACTTAGGGCCAGAGTTTTGAAGGTGTTTGGGTGTTTAAATATTCAGATAGGCATCTAAATACCTTTCAAAAGACTTTGGACTAAGGGGCAAATTTTTAAACACAGCTCATCTAAAGAATGCCTGCATCATAGAACACCATAAGGAAGTATGGTGTTTTCTTTCTAAAAATCAGGTTTCCCTGACAGCCAGTCCTGACAATGGACTGGCATGTGTGGGATTCATGCTCTGCAGTTAACATACTATCTATGAGGTTGAGACACTTTTTTTGTGGAGCACGCATGCTGTGCAAGTATAAATCACAATAACCACTGAAAAGGTGTTATCCTACAGGGTAATGTGCAGTTCTGAGCAGCTGTAAAGAAGAGGCTGCTGCCAAGTTAAGACAGTAAGAGGGTCAAACTTTGTTGGATTTGGCTCTACCCATTATTCCAAAATCGTTATTCAGCCTCAATTTGAGACTGCATAGTAGTACTGTGGCAATGGTGTTTAGTGTCAGCTGTTAGGCTCTGTCTACACTAGGGGCATTTTCTAAATATTTTGCTGACACTGATTGAGCCACACCAATTTTAGCAATACTGGGGAGCCTCATGTAAACAGCACTCCCAGGGCCACGGCCATTTTTCATGCTGTGGACTAGACTTGTTCTGAACAGGTTTCATTTCATGATGTTAAATACTGTTGGGACCATGGGAGGCTGGTTTATATTGTTGATCCTAGTACTGCTAATGTTGATCCAGCTGGACTCGTATTGGCAACTTTGGGAAATATTTAGCAAACTTCACTGCTGTAGCAAGGCCTTAAATGAAAGGAGAAGAAAAATCTCTGTACACCATCTAAGGAAATGTAGTAAATACAATTTTTATAATATGGAATACAGCATAGGGATTGATTAGTCACAGTTTTAGAATACTATTGAATTATACTTTTTTTATTTGAATGCTCTAGGAGAAGGTGTCTTATCTAATTAAAGTAGAAGGAAAGCTCCATATTGTTCACCTACTACAGAAGAAGTAAGTGACTGTTCTCTTCCAAACCTTTCATCTGCTCTTTTTTTAGAGAAATAGGTATATATGGGGCTTTACAATCAAGTATGAAGACAAAAGCTCCTGCCCCCAGAAGCTGTCAATCTAGATATTGAGAAATAACAGAAGTGGTAAAAAAGTAGAAGATGGGATGCAAGGAAAACTGCTTTTATAGGGGGCATTAGTTAGAGCAGTAATAATTAGGAAGGGACAAGCATCTCCGTACTTTAAAGTTAAAGCTACTTTTCATTATAAATTTGATTTTTTTACATGCTTTCTAGCTTTGCCAAGAGCAAACCAATCCACATGAAACTCTACACCCATGTAACCTTATGCCAAGGAAGGATATTTCAGAAAGGTTCAAGATACACTGGGCAATATAAATTAGCTATATGAGAACTCAGGAGGCTCTTCTTGGAGGTGGTCTCTGCATATCAGTACCAATAATATTTGTGCCTCCCTGTGCTGCTGAACTTTGGCAATCTTCTTGAAAAGAGGTGTTCACGGAGACCACACAATAACTACCTCCCAGAGGTAACATTCAGAGCTAATATTAGTAAATGTCATGCAATCCCTTCTTGCATTGGCTTCTTCTTTTCGGCATGTACTTGCAGGTATTGGGGACCCTCATTCAGTTCCTGGAGAGAATTTCTTAATTTTTTTACCTGAAATCTGTCAACTGATTCTAGTTATTGCAGTTTTAGAAAATATAGATATTTTTAGACAGTTCTTGCACTATTGCTCAGTTTAAATTCCTAGACCAACTGAGACTTCAGTTCCCGGCTCATTTCTGATGAGTAGAGCCCTGAATGGTTACAAAATTTATATCCACGGATGCAGATATCTGCGGCTATAAAGCAGATATCCATGGAGCTGCAGTGCTCTAGCAACAACAAGAGAGACCAGCAGGGCCAAGGCCAGCGACCAGGCCAAGAACTGCAGTGGCAAAAGCAGCTGCATTTTGGGCCACTGCTCTCAGGAGCCCGCACCCAGCCTGGGCAGCTCTGTCAGCATGGCTGTGCTGCCCTCAGCCCTGCCCACTGGGGCGGACACGAGGCTCACGGGCAGCTGTCCCTGGGAAAGTTAGTGTGTGCAAGCAGCTCACATGTTCCTTGACAGGAGTACCACATGACGGGACTCCTGTCCAGGAGCCACCCTGAGACCTAGCAAACTTGTAACAGCATTGTGCTGTTTGGGAGCATTGCATTTAGCTGCCCTTCTAGTCACAAGCTTACATCAGTGTTGCAGAATATACAGTTTTGGACAGATAAGCCATACTCTTATTAAATAGAAGGAAAACGGGGATGTAGAAGAAAAAAAGAAATAAGCTGGGGAAGGAAAAGAACATACATGTGGGGAGAAGGGCAGAGAGACAAAATCTCACTATTGATATGGGGTTCTGGATTTAGTTGGAGCCAAAGGAGGTGGCAGTGTCATCTGGATCCCTCTCTCTGGTCCATTCTGATCAGGACAGCTCTTGGGATTAAAAGAAAGAAGGCCCAGGGTCTCAGGGAACAGAAGGGGTGGCAGCCGTGATAGTGAATTTCACTCCTTCCCCTTCTCTCAACTTTCAGTCAGCCATTGGTACAATAGCCCCTCCACCAAGCCGCTTAAGAACCCTGAAAAAGGATGGGTGGAATAGCCCATCCCCTCATTACTTTGTCCACTAATTAGATCTAATTTATTACACCAATTTTGGTTTATTAATTTCTGGTTCCATACTTTTCTTGTTTACTAAGAAATCTTAACATAGTCTTTGAGTTATATCAGTGGGCCTTCTTGTTTAGACCAGAGGTTCTCAAACTGGGGTGTGGGCCCACCCTGGGGGTGCAGAATGTATTCTGGGGGGCATGAGAAGTTTTAGGGGAAAAAAACTTATTGCACACATTTTACCCACAGCAATGAATAATTAGCAAAGCTGATTCCTCCAGACATATCAGGTCTTCAGATGGCATTGTGCACTTTGACAGATTTCTGTTAATCGCGCATAGTATTATACAAAGTCGATGACATCTGTATGTTAATCCATTTGCTATGATGCAAATTTAATTGCACGCATGGACCACAATCGCAGTTTTGCTTTTGCTTTTATTACAATGGATTGTTGGCTCATTCACGCAACAGAAAAACAAAGAAGCCAAAACTGAGTCTAGTGAAGCACCGCGGCTGCATATATCAGTATATGTACTCTGTGTAGGTGTGTGTGTGTGTGTGTTTGTGGGGAATGTATACTACTACAGACACAATGATGGAATGGGTGATCAAATAAGTTTGAGAACCACTGGTTTAGACTAAATCGGTCTTTCTTCCTTTTGCACCTTTTTTGATCAACATTTATTGATATTGGTTATTGTGACACTTCATTAACTTTTCCTTATTTTTTGCAGTTGAGCTCACAATTGGGGTAAATTCATAGGCCCAATTATTACAAAACCCTTGCAGGGGAGAAACAGAAGACTTTGACGTATTTGTCTAGCTCCAAGTTGGTGGAACACCTTATGTCCAGCTTTGGAGCCACACTGGAAGAAGCTGGATTTGTCTTTAGCATCTGTCAGTGCCAAGGACTTCAAATTTGCCTGCTGTAAGGCAGAAGCTGATGAGTGCAGATTATGTTGGTCCTTCAATGCTGGAGACCTTGTCAGCACTGAAAAGGCTCCAAGTAAACATGCTCCTTTCAGTGCCATCTTTCTCTCAAATCCAGCATTTGTGGACAAATTCCTACGTTTCTCTCGCTATTCCCATTTTTAAACATGTCTACAATAAGACAGAACTATCTAATGAGGTATTCATGGGTTTAATTAGGTAATGTGTGAGTGATGCCTAATAGATAAGGCACTGCATTGGGATTCCATTCCCCTCTACCACGGTCCATTGGGCAACACTGGATATGTCACTTCAGCATCTTGTGCATTAGTTTCCCCATGTCTAAAATAGGTATAATGGCATCTCTGCATTAGGTACACTCAGATCAAGTTTTCAAGTTTTTCTTCAGAACCACGAGAGCTAGGAATATTTTTGTAATTAATGCATAGATTCTGGAGCACAGCTTTGTGGCAAAAAGCGAATTCTGTAGCAGATTCACTTCTGCAGAATGCACTGGGTCTTGACTATAGATTTACATAAGACCATTGAAGTGGCTAAATAAAGGTATTTAGCCACCTAACTCCCACTGACTTCAGTGAGAGCCAGGCATCTAAATACCTTTGAGGAGCTGGGCCTTAGACCTTATGCAACCAGCAGTTCACATGCATCAAGACAGCAAGCAGCAATTGTTGGCATTTTTGGATCTGGTTTGAAGACTAGGCTATGAGTAGACAATTCACCAAAAGTACCTTTATTTCCGAAAGGCTGATCAGCTTCTTACCAAAGGAGGTACATCCTGTATGCTGTGCTCAACGTCACTATATCCCTAGTATGATATTACTTCCCTAAGACTATAAGCAATGGCCTGTTATGTGCAGTAGAGGTAGAAGAAGGACCCACCACCTCATCCAGGTGGTCATGGCTGTCTAACAGGCCTGCTGAGCTGAAGCTTGATGTTCAAAGCCCCCCCCCCCCTTTTGTATTCTGTGCCAAAGTGCCAGCTGTACATGTTTGCGTCAGCTGGTGTTCCGCTTGTCTCAGACACATCCTCATGTAACAGTTGATGGTTTCCTCTCTCAGAAGTTTCAGCTAGGTTGAACTAGTTTTGCGGTTTTAGCTGACAGAAAAACAATCCCCTTCATTCTTATAAAAACAATATTAATATGCCTAATAACAGCAAAACTAATTAGAACCAATTTTACGTAATGATTGAGTACCATATGTTTACATCAAGCGCCATCTTGCATTATCTGTATTTCTCCAGCAGGGTCCCCTGCTTTTGAATTTCTAATTTTTTAAAATCTTTTATTTTCAGAATGTTCGTAGCCCCAAATATCCCAGTTTTTACTTACAATGAGAAGGGAGACTTGATAACAGATTATCCATATATACAGGTAAGCATGAGATATGTACCTTAGAGGGTATAATACTGAGTAAAATTAAACTGCCGTGCTCTAAAAATTGCATGGATGATGGCTGTCAGTTTTGATAATAAATTCTTGGGTTTTCAAATGGTTTTTCAATTGGGTTATAATTCGAGGGACTTTTCTGTGTTGTGAGACAATCATATCCTGGTCTGAAAGCTGAGGAATTTAACCTTAGGTATGGTGAATAAACCGCTGATTAATAACCTTACCTTAGAACTTAGTTCCTTCTGAGTAGCTGACACATTGGGTAGTTGAGTTCTTCCATTGATTAAGGTCACTTGCTAGTTGTGAAAAGCAACAGAGGGTCCTGTGGCACCTTTGAGACTAACTGAAGTATTGGGAGCATAAGCTTTTGTGGGTAAGAACCTCACTTCTTCAGATGTGGCACTGGGAAAGTCACTTTACATCTCTTCCCACCAATTTGCCTGTCTTGTCTATTTAGAATGTA